TATCAGGAATGCCACATACTTTACCATAACGTTCGTTCTAATCCAGTATATAGTTCACGGATTAACTAGCAGGGTAAAGAATAAACTAATTAACTATGCGGCTAACAAATTACCGATCACAGTAGCCGAGCGGTCTAAGGCATGAACAGTTTTCTCTCGCTCGAACACTGGGATCGTGGGTTCGAAACCCAGTCAAGGTATAAATGACTGTGTGTTTCTATTCTCTATTTGTGTTGTCCTGTGTGTAGACAGCTGCCTTGCGATGAGCTGATCCCCCGCCCAAGGAGTCCTACCGTCTGTGTAAAAAGATCAAGGAACTGAAAAAGGGTCCAAGGTCCAATAAAGGGCTGCATATATATATACTCGTATATATATATATATATATATATATATATATATATACAGATATACATATAAATATAGATACATAGATAGATGTACATATATTATATATAGATATACATATATAGACTAACAAATTGACTGACTGACTGTCTAATGAATTATGTAAATCTGTCTGAGTGATCAAATAACTGCCTGCTAACTTAATTCAGTCACTCACTGACTACCAAGTCCTGACTTTGACTGCCCAACAAAATGTCTGGTAACTGCGGTTCTTTTACTGCGAGCACTAAAGTCTCCCATTGTGTTTCTCAATGTCTCTCACATTCCCAGCTCAGCTTTTGAATTCTGTCACTGAAAATTGAGGCGGTCGAAATGTTCCTCTTTTTATACAGAAAGTATCAACTCGTTTGACACGAGCACTGACGTGTATATTGAAAATCGATGCTCCATTTTGCATTGAACGATCGCTTTCAGTTGCATTGTTCAGGCCGATAACCCGTGTTAACAGGGGCAGCTGGTTCTCTACCTTCCGTGTCTGCAGCTACTGCTGTAGGATAACAATATGCAGCTACTCTTCGTAACTAACATTCAGGACACGCAGCCGCTCCGTGCGAACAGAGTGACGTGCTAAGACTGCTCTGAGCCCGACAGTGTCAAAGAAAATGCTCTCATTACTAACTTACTTATGGAGCTTAGCTCTTCTTGAGAAGCCAAATCTGCAGCTACTGAAGAACTTCCAAGCATTTTATGGAACCCGAAGGTTCACAAGAGCCCTCCACTGGTACCTATCCTGAGCCAGATCAATCCAATCTATATCATCCCATTCTATCTCTCTAAGATCCATTGCCCACCCACCTATGTCTTGGTCTTCCCAGTGGAATCTTTCCTTCTGGTTTTCCCACCAATATCATATAGGCATTCCTCGTCTCCAACATTCGTGCTACATGCCCTGCCCACCTCACCCTCCTTGACTTGATCATTCTAATTATACTTGGAGAAGAGTACAAGTTATGAAGCTCCTCATTATACAGTCCTCTCCAACCTCCTGTCACTTCATCCCTCTTCGGTCCAAATATTCTCCTCAACACCCTGTTCTCAAACACCCTCAGTCTATGTTCCTCCCTTAATGTCAGAGACCAAGTTTCACACCCATACAGAACCACATAGAGAAGCGTATGAAACCAATTTAAAAAAATATTCGGTTTCTGAAAGAAATAAGGAAAGGAGAAAAATGAATGAGAAGAAAGAGAACATTTGGATGAAAGAGTTGACAAATGGACAGATGGACAGACTGATGGATGGATGGACGAATGACTGGACAGATGGATGGACGAATGATTGGACATACGGATGGATGAATGGACGAATGACTGGACAGACGGATGGATGAATGGACGAATGACTGGACAGATGGATGGACGAATGATTGGACAGACGGATGGATGGGTGGACGAATGTATGGACAGGTGGATGGACAGACGGATGGACGAATGATTGGACAGCAGGATGGATGGTTGGAAGGAGAGAAAGGGAATAGAGAGTTACATAGCTAAACTAGTTAACAAGTAATTTAATAAACAAACAAACACACCACCAAAAATGCAGATGAGAATATGATTGAGTACATATGAGAATACAGAATGCAGGGTGTAAAAAAGAAGCGACAAACAAATCGTTGTACCCTTTGTAATGCTATTTCTGACCCGCTCTGCAACGAGCTTTCCGTCAGTTTCTCACCCTCCGAAACGCTTGCACTTTCTTGCGCTGATAAGAATAGTTACGTGCCCTGGTTTACGGCTCCGTGAGGGTACCGGCGGCGGTCTCTCTGTGTAGGGTGAGGGAGGAAAGCGCACTTAAACTCTAGTGTAAAACAAGTGACGAGCTCATAAAACTAAAGGGCATACAGCTTCCACTTTGCAGTAAACAATTCCAGTTCTGTTAAAGACAAACATGCCCCGAAGTACGCATTTCGCAGCTCGACACGCCGGATTTCCATAATGCATTCTGTTTCACAGTAACACAGAACCTGTGAGGAGGTGGCAAGGAAGTATAGTCTCTATGGCTTGTCCACAGTTCTCCGCGTTTGTATATCATGGAACAGACAGTGCTGCCCTCTATGTCTTCATTCCTCAACTAATATTTCCCCTGGAAGAGGCCGACTTCCTCTTCTGATTTTATATTTTAATGTGTTTCCTCTCAACTATCATTCACTCAGTGTAGCATCACAACCTGCTTTATACTTGTTCACGTACATTATGACGTCGTTCGTACTTTCTTCACGTTCAATTACACTCAAATATGTACTTTCTTCACGTTCAATTACACTCAAATATATACAGTCATTTCACTCACTCACTCACTCATGGAGCTGAGTCCTCCTTGAGAAGCTGCCAGTTGTGCAGCTACTCAAGAAATTCATAGCATTTTATGCAAACCGAATGTTCATTACCGTGTTCACACGAGCCCTCCACCGTTCCCTAATCTGATCAAGATAAAAAAATCCATACCATTCCATCCATTTTAATATTGTCCACCCACATAGGTCGTTGTGTAAGTATAGTAATTAATTTTATAAAATACTGAATCGAACAATCCAATCGGCAGCCTGATTATGGCTAATTTTTAGGTCAAAATATGGACCTTAAAATGATGTATTTCAATTATACGATTATGGATGATAATCATTGGTTCCATGTTCGTTTATTGGTATTCTTTTTCTGAAGGAATTTAAATTAAATTCGGTATTTAGAATATACACAAAAATATGGGGGGGGGCACGCGGTAGTGTAGTTGGTTGAGGCACTATGCTACAAGCCGGAAGGTAGCAGGTTCAAGTCTAGATGAGGTGGATTTTTTCAATTGGCCTAATCCTTCCAGCCGCATTATAGCCCTAGGGTCGAGTGAGTCTCTAACAGAAATGAGTACCAGGAATTTTCTTGGGTAGTAAAGGGCTGCCGGGGCGTAAGGCTGACAACATTACCGCCATCTGTGAGCCGATTGTCTAGAAAATGTGGGAACCTCAACATCTCAAATATCTCACAACCTTATGGGCCTTCACCGCCTGTTACAGGGATACCTTTACTTACTTATATAAAAATATGAGTAGTGAATACAATTACGGCCAGCATTGTTCCGTTAATATTCATTCTTTACATGAAATTCGATGTCATTTTCCTTAGAAAGCGCTACTTTGTGCATGAGATGAACATTTACATGATATAAAGCGCACATATTACAATAAAGATCACATTTCGGTATGACACGTTTAAGAAAACAGAGTAGAAATATCTTTGTGTCGATTATCTTTGTCAACGAAGAATTCTCAACCGAACAAAAGAGCTTTAAGACAAAGAGATCCAAAATTGCGAACAACAAATTTGGACTGCATCTTCACGGATATGATCCTGTATTTATTCATTTATTTCCATATTCCCGTTCACTATTAAGGGGCAATTTTCTTATACTCGTTGGCGAAGGCATAGGTCACTTTTGCACTGGAGTAAAAGCAGAAATGAAGTACATTTCTTTATTTACTCTGGCAATATCAGATTCCCTGTGAAGTTTCCTGATGCATATTTCATACTGAATACAAGATGGTGGATCCAGAGCAGAGCACAGAAGCCTGACGTCATATGCGGCTGCTACATCTTGCAGGAGCAAAAAGAAAATCTTGGTTATCGTGCTTATGAATACATCACCGTGCTAGAGGAACTCAAAGTAGACACTGGCATGCATATTTTGTTTATTCATATGTTTTCGCATTGCTTCGAACCACAGAACATATTAAATACACAAGTCGAGTACATGTGTACTTGTCTATTATATGTTTTTTTTTCCTTGGCACTACAGCCCCAGTGGGCCTAGGCCTACCTCCATAAACTTCTCCGTTCACTTCGGTTTTTCTAGATCTTACACATTCGGTAGGACTCCTTGGGCGGGTGATCAGGTCGTCGCAAGGCCTCTACCTGTACACAAACTAAACATCCATGCCCTGAATGGAATTCGAACCAACGATCCCGGTTTCCAAGCGAGCAAAGACAGTGCAAGCCTTAGACCGCTCGGCTACTGTGACCGGCAGTGCATAAGAATAATATATAAGAATTCAGTTCGTACCTCACAGGAAACAGATCCGAACCCACGATCCCGGTTTCCAAGCGAACAAAGACAGTACATGCCTTAGACAGCTCGGCTACCGTGACCGGCCTATTGTATGTTTACTAGTTTCTTTTTTTGTGCAAATGATAAATTATTTTCAAACTAATTGACTGATAGTCCCACGTTTGTGCTACTACAAACAGGAAGGTGCGTTCATGAATTATACAGGTGAAGTGAGCTCTATGTAAGGAAATGTGGCGTGACGTTTTGTGACCCCTGTCTTAAGAAACAACAGAGGTTTTCGCTTCTTCAAAATATGTATTACTCCTACTTAAGTCCGTTGTCTATCTCTATCCGCAAAAGTTGGCACTAAATTTGCCGGCAAGCGGCGGTAGCTCGGTCGGTATAGTTCGCTTGCGGACTACAGGTCACGGAGTTTATTCTTGTTTTAAGAGGAAGAAATCGCAGTATAAAAATTTGATAATATTTCATTGTTTGTCCTTGTTTATATTCTGATACTAGGATAAAGAATAGGATAATTGAAGGCAACTCTCACTTACCCTTCTTCAATTCTTTCGTGATCCTTTACGAGTTCACAGTCAGCACACACAGGTGGAGTCCTGTTTCTGGCCTGTTTGGCCGCCATGTTTCTAGCTCGAATCTAAAATGAAAAAGATTTAAATGAGAAGTGACGGTTAAATTTTATACCGAAATTTGTCAGGTACACATAATTTTGTTAGGCTTGCATATCGATTGCATATAGGATATTGAGAAAGCCAGAAGGAAACAGACCACAGGTTAGACCAAGGCGTAGGTTGGTGGACAATATTAAAATGGATCTTAGAGAGATAGGATGAGATGGTACTGATTGGATTGATCTGGCTCAGGATATGGACCAGCGGAGGACTCTTGTGAACACGGTAATGAACCTTCGAGTTTCATAAAATGCTGCGGAATTCTTGAGTAGCTGTAGAATTGGCGGCTCCTCAAGAAGGGCTCAGCTCCATGAGTAAGCAAGTAAGTAAGGCCTGCATATCGGTTCAATTCAATCCTTTTTACGTCAAGTTTAAATAGAATTTATCAGTTTCTTTAAAACGTCATTCCTCATAACATTAAATTAATGTCTATAAGGTTTTATTTTTATGGACCGTTTGCTTTATATCGGATAGTTAATGAAACCACCCAGTTATGAGCCTGAAGGACCACACCTTTTCAGCTGTCCATGACAGCTCGTTCAGCATGTCTTCCAGTTGCTCGTTATATCTAGAGGTCGCTTCCCTTGTCCGCTTCATAACCTCACAACTTAATATGCTATAATATTCGACCTGTAGTTAGTTCGAATGCATTGAAACGTACGTGTACTCACATGACGTCAGACATTCCAGCATAAGCAATCTGAGAGAGACTCGGCGTTATGCCCAGTGGCGTAACTCTTATACTCCTTTTTTTATTATCTTAGGTATCATTTTAAATCTTGTGTTCGGGTTTTACTCAGGTCTGTCCGGTAGAGTTATGACGGTGTACCTTTTCAGTCTATGTATAGTTTCGCTATTGCCTAGTACGTTTACTGCTAGTGCGTTAGTGTGGTTTTCTAATGTTATTCAGTATCTGGTATTGCCCTTTTTATTTCGCTGAGCACCGTGTTCATTTGTATATCTTCATGGATCCTGTGGCTGTTTGTGTACCAAGGTGCGTTCAGAACGGATCGGAGAGACTTGGATTAACAATGATTTAACAAATAACAAAAATGTGTTTATATTCTTAAGAAATAAAATAAACTTAACCAGTCACTTAACGGAAAATCTATCTAGCTGACCAACCGCCTAAATGACTACAAAGTTAATCGACTAATTGAGATATTCAGTAACTAATTAATTAAAAAGTTACTTAACCCTCCAGTTAATTAAATAAATAACTAAAGAGAACGAACTTCCTAGAAGAAATAACAGTTTTCTGCTGCTAAAGAAATTAAGTTTTTATGGAAACTGAAGATTCAAAGACGTGTTCACAAATGTTACATCCTATTCCCAGTCAGTTAATTCTATCTTGTACTAAATCTTGCAATAAAAAAGCCACATTACTTATAAGTCCACAATTTCAATATTTTTTCATCTTAAAATAATCCGCTGTTTATCTTTCACCGTTGTTTATACGGGAGGATGAGGTAGGCAGGGCATGTAGCACTAGTAGGGAAGAAGAGGAACGCATATAGGATATTGGTGGGAAAGCCAGAAGGAAATAGACCACAGGTAAGACCAAGACGTAGGTTGGTGGACAATATTAAAATAGATCTTAGAGAGATAGAATTGGATGGTATGGATTAATCTGGCTCAGGATATGGACCAGTGGAGGGCTCTTGTGAACACGGTAATGAACCTTTGGGTTCCATAAAATGCTGGGAAATTCTAGAGTAGCTGCAGATTTGACTTCTCCTCAAGAAGGGCTCAGCTCCATGAGTAAGTAAGTTAGTACCGCTGTTTGTACGATTCTTCAACGTATCTTTACCCTTTGTCTTTATTTTGCGCGTAATTTTGTTCAGGTTAACGTGAAGCTCATGTTTAGGGGCCTCGCTGGAGACACCGTAAGTAACGCGTCGCCTTATGAAAATACGATTTAGGAACATCAAAGTGAAAGCAGCGGGGAACAATATATGCGAGAATGAAGAAGGAAAGTGAAGATAGGGGAAAGTATTACGGCATCATCTAGGGAACTGATGCTACAAACACCACAGCAATTTGCTCATGCAGATTCCTGCCTTTACCTCCCCTATCTTGTTCTCACTTCATCCTTTTTAACATAAATTCTCTATCACTTTCGTTTTTATGTGTTCTATGCATAAAGTGTATGAAATGAACACATAATTAGGAGGGGATGCGCCTTGGCGTGTTTCATCTACAAACCTCAAGAAACGGCTATAAAATTTGATGCTATGAATATATTCATGTTAAGAGTTGTGGGATGAATTTCATATTGTTGTGATTTTAGAGTGATTATAGACGGGGTTTGGATTGATGAACGGATTTATTGGACTCTTTGGATACAGCGCGTTTCTACAGAGTCACGGATTCACTAGCCGTTGTTTGGTAGAGGTTTCCAACGGCGGACGTTCCCATTCCTTTGGGTTCCCGAAATATATCAGCCTCAGATACCAGCTTCTGAGAGCAACAAATCACAACCGAACCCCAGCGGTTATCTAACTCACTGCGGCTAACTTGCCCTATTTATGATACCTCGGCACGGAGCGCGTAGAAAACACCATTCCTCTGTTGCTGTTTACGGGCCGCTGTCTAGTAACGGCAGTTGTATATTTACTTATTTTGCAGTCGTTGCCTAGCAACGGGTCTGCATGCCACAATATTAGACTAGTATCACGTTAGACAACGCCCACTCTTTGAAGTATGCTTAATATATCAATTGTCGATATGTTGAATTGATGCACATATAAAACTTCACAAATTTCATTGAAATAGCTCCTCAATTATTCTCACGAGGCTGAGTGAACCTCGTTCCAGAACCACTACTTCTCAGAAAATCTGGTAACACTGGGAATCGAACCCGAGACCTCTGGATCTGTAGCCAGGAACTCTGACCACTAGACCACAGAGGCGGTCAACACGTTCAAATAACGCATAAATAATACTTCATAATTGGCCAATGTTGCCCATTTTCTAATCTTCTCACCAAGATCTTTCGCCGGTTCATGAGTTAGTCAAAATTTCGCAAAGGGCCGAATTATTCAGGCGTTTAAATTTACACAGATATAGATGGACCGACTTCACGGTGGAAGAAAGGCAATGAAGACATGGATAAAAACATATATGGGTTCACGAATGCACTCATACGCATGCGCGCACAAATAAATTTTAAAAACGTTAATGTATGGGCTGCAATCCTGAGACCTGTGTATTACAAGGCAGAGACCTAATATACTCGTATCAGATCGAAGGCCTTTAGTTCGGAGCCCGCAGTGGGTCGGCTACAACACATACATATCGGGCCTACGCACGTACATGCCACAGCCGATGTGCTTCTGCTAGTTCATATAAACACGTAACCGTGTTACTGGAGAAGCAGGTCTAGAAGACGCATGCGCACTGGGTAACGAACCGAGAACGCCCGATTGGAAGGATGCTGTAGCGAAAATACAAGCAAATAGAATGAAAGTAGGAGGTTTGTGAGGAGTGGTCTGCAGGTTGGAGACGAAGACATCATTGTTAGGTGGTTGTTGTTATTGTATATATATGTATTTTAATTTTCTCCCATCTTAATAGTAATCCTGATTTGTAATAAATCTATTACTATTATTATTATGATTACTCAATTACTCAATTCTTAATAACACTTAGTTTAATGATAATGAAATTATTACTACTGTTATAATTATCATTTATTTGTTTCTTTGTTTACTTTCCTTCAATATTATTTCTTCCAAGTGCTTACCTGTAATTTGTATTTGACTTTAATAAGTTTGTCTATAATGTAATTACTTTCATCTGCACTGTGCTCTGTCTGTAATTGGCCTTGCGGCTGTTGACTCGGCACATAAATAATAATAAAGAATTGAATTATTATTATAATAATAATAATAATAATAAAAAT